TGCCGACGAGTCCCATCTGTGCACGCAGGGGGGGAGGGGTCGGAGTGTTTTTCTTTATTTGGGGGAGGGTGTTTTTCTTTTTGGGTTGGAGCTGCCTGCTGAAGGTGGATGATGCGGTCCTTGACGGGCTTGCAGTACGAGGTCCGCAGGGTCAGCTTGAAGCACTTGTCGCAAAAAATGGTCATGTTCTTGTTGGTGAAGCCGACCTTCCAGTCGAACCCGTTCTTGTCAACGAAGATCGTCCCGAGGTGGTTCAGCTTGATCTGTGGGATGCCCTTGGGGTTGATGTTGAAGGCGTCCACGAAGGCGTTCTTCTGGAGCTGCATGCGGCGGTGGTGTGTGGTGAGTTGAGAGGGTGGGAGGGGGGGGGCGCAGAGAAAGAAGTAGGGAAAAAGAAATACCTCGTTGTGGAAGCCGAAGTAGGTCTTGCCTTGTCGAACTGGACGCCGTTGCGGTAGGCCATCGCGATGCCGTAGGCGTCACAGAGGTCGTACAGCCCTTTCTGCAGGGACTCGCTCACGATCTGGTAGGTCTCGCCTTGGCCTGGGGCGGAGACGCGCTCGAAGTAGATCAGCGGCCCCTCCTCGGAGGCTTTGGACTGGTCCATAGCCCATTTGACGGCGGGGGCGCACCTTGTCCGGATCTGCGGGAGGATCTCATTGAGGGCGCCCGGGCTCACGAAAGCCTGCCGGGAGGGCGAACACCCACAGCTCTGTCTGCTATAGCCGCAGCCACTCCCAGCTACTCGGTGTGAACAGAGTTCGTACCGAGCAGTGGGAGCGTCTGCAGCTACAGTCGCTGCAACTTCACCGCCGTGGCGAGCCTGGCGAGGTCATGCTCCTCGCAAACTCTCGGCGGCCCCCCCTGGAGCACCCACCTGGCACTCATTGGCCGGCGCCCACAGCTGCGATGCGGTCGTGCGCGCGGATGCGAGCGACGTCGAGTTTGAGCGCGACGCAGAAGCGCTCAAGGGGGAGAGTGTACCTCGAGAGTGGCGAGTGCGGGTGTCGGAGAGTTGCCGTAGTGTTCCTTCATCATAACACTATCTTAAAAAAGCACTGGCGCGCGTCCAAGGACACACCTCTTCCTCTCTCCCCCTCTGCGCGTCAGCTCTGCGCAGCAGAGCCCCAGACTCTGGCCTGGTATGTTCGTCCACTCTGCGCGCCGCGCCGCGCGCTGGCGGTGCAGCCGCGCCGAAGGCGCAGAGTCGCGCGTTTTGCGCGCGCGCGCGAGCTCGCATCGGTCGATCAAAGGCATCGGATTGGCTCGCGTCGACGTCCGAGCTGCGCAGGACTTGCGCAGACCAGCTCGCGCAGGCGGTCGAGTGCCCGGTCGCAGCGACCGGTGGACCATGCCAGGCCGCCATCCTAGTATCAAGTCTGAGCTTGCTGAGCCGGGGCACCGAGGGGCATCGCAGGACATCCTCGTTGAGCGCCTCGCTCGAGGGCGTCCGAGGCTTCGGGTCAGAATACGGTGTGTGCAGCGCGCGCTGCGGCGCAGCACACACCGTATTCCGTGCTGGCGCCCGCGGCCTTCACACACTCGTCCAACTCCGACGAGCAGAGCCTCAGTATTGCCAGAGGTGACCACGGCAGGCTCGCGACTGAGACAGGCGGCCGCGGAGCTTGAAAATCGCCATGCAACTCGACTGAAGCACCAGACGCTCCGCAACTCTCGATCCCTCGAGAGTTCACGCGGAGTCGGCTGGGGCTATACCAGACAGCCCACAGCTCTCTCACTCAGCGCGAAAAAGAAAAATGCGGGCCTGTAGCCCGTGGGTGAACGCTGCCCAGCCCCCCTCCGTGTCGCGATGCGCTCCCCGCTCCCGTTCCCCTGTGTCCCTGATCGTCCTTACAAGATCCTGCTCGCGCAGGTGGGGACCCTGTCCTTCTCCCACCCCTTGTTTGGAGAGAGAGTTTTTGGTTTTGTTTGTGTGTCCGTTTTATTTATTTATTTATTCTCTAGCCCTAGCCCGATGCCGCTCATCCGACCCGCTGGGTGCGCTTCTTAGCTCCACGGCCCTGGATGTCGTGAGGTTTCAGCATTCAGGCTCGAGGTTTCAGGTTACCTAACTGCACTCCCAAGTGCCGCTCCAACAAGTGCGCGTCGCTTTTGAGTTGTCTGTTTCTTTCTTTCTTTCCGCTTTCTTCTTTCTTTTTTGCACTCCCCCCCCCCCCCCCCCCGGAAGAGAGTGGTCGAAAACATTC